CAGGAGCCCAGACCCACACTCTGCCTTTCTGTATGTAGGTGGTTCTGCCATTCACAAAGTAACTTTTCAGTGGATGTTGGTACCTGTTCCCTGCTGAAGTCTCCTGAAGCCCTGATTGTCCTGGTGTGGCCACTGTCACATGGAGCAGCAGCAAGTCTGAGCCTGGGCTGGAGCTGTTCCAGGTAGAAGGTCTCCTCATGGCACCACCACACCTGCACTGCAGGTGTGCTCTGTGTCCTGGTGCTGTCACCTGGAGTACCTTGCCTGAAGCAGGGGGATGAGCTAGAAAAAAAAAAAAAAGAGGAAAAGAAAAAAAGAAAACTGTAAAAATAGATGAAAGCAGCCAGGCCCTCACAGGGCTGCAGGGGTCACGTGTTGCACTGGAAGGTGTAAAGAAAAATCCTTAATGTCCCATGGTTGCAACTGACCTGCTTCCCTGTCCCAGGGATCAATGACATCCATTCCAAAGCAGTGCCCAGGGCAGGCAGAGCACCCCTGTGATGTGACAGCCACACAGAGTGATGCACCTTGCCTGGGAAAAGGCAAGAGGTAACCCAGTTAACCTTTCAAAGGTGGGATCCTTGTCCTCACCACCCCAGCTCTGCCAGAGCAACTGGTCACCAGTGGGGAGGGGTGGTGGCTGCATCTGAGCATTTGCTTTGAGAGCTGCACCCTGAGCTGGGCACCTGCAGGCTCAGTGACTTGGGTCCCTCTTCCTTGGGGTGTCCTTCCTTGGTGACACACTGTGCAGAGCTGCTGGTGCCTGTGATGGGGTGGGGAACAGATGATTGATTGCTTGGTCTTGCAAGGTGCTGAATCAAGTCTTCCTTATTGAACTGTTTTCCATTCTCTTGTTTACTGCTGTGTGTTTCCAGCAGCTGGTTAAAATCCAGGACTCAAAGTCTGCAGCAGAAATAACGTGTTGGTAACAGCCAGTGCAGAGAAACCCTTGTTCTACCCCCTGCCTTCCTTGAACTGGCACCCGGGGCAATTCAAAATGACCTGCCTTTCCCACTGCAAAATGGGTGGGGAAAATGAAATAAAAGGCATTGAAAGAAGAAAGAAAAGGTGCGTGGTGGCAGCACCAGGGCTAGGGAGGTGCAGGCCTGGCCACTCGTTTGTGTCAAAAGCTAAAGCAGCAGCAGTGACACAGCCAGGGTGGGCAGGCCAGAAATAAACAGCTGATGGAAGAGAGCAAGTGCTAAAGGAAACAAACATTACAAAAAAACCCCCACAAAACATAATTCTGGCTCTTTCCTCTAGTGTTACATTAATTGTAATGGCCTCAAGTTGCACCAGGGGAGGTTTAGAGTGGGTGGGAGGAAGAATTTCTTCCCTGAAGGGGCTGTCAGGCCCTGGCACAGGCTGCCCAGTGGTGGAGTCACCATCCCTGGAGGTACAGACACAGGATCATAGAGTGATAGACTGGTTTGGGTTGGAAGAGACCTTCAAGATCATCAGGTTCCAACCCCCCTGCATGGGCAGGGACACCTCCCAGCAGCCCAGGTTGCTCAGAGCCCTGAGCACAAGCACATACACTGAGGGACATGGTTTAGTTAAGGACTTGTCCTTGTGGAGTCGACAGTTGGACTCGATCATCCTGAAGGTCTCCAACCAAGGTGATGCTGTGACCCCGTGGGCAGCATCAAATACCAGACACCATCCAGAAACCCTGGCACCTCCTGTGCCAGCGGGGCTGAGCGAGCAGAAGGCGTTTGGCAAAAGCCCTTCAGTGGATCCGATCCCCCTTCCCAGGGGTGCCCTGCTCAGCTGCAGGGGGGGCTGGGGTCCCATCCCCTGCCTGGGGAAGGCACAGAGCCCTGCAGAGCAGGCACAGAGCCTTGCAGAGCAGGCACAGAGCCCTGCAGAGCAGGCACAGAGCCCTGCAGCCCTGGGGAGCAGCATTCCCAGAGCCCTCACCTTCCCCATCCTTGGATCCAGAGTGGATCCAGGAGGAAAGAGCCTCCCAGGGACTGGGATGTGCAGCAGCCAAGGAGCTGGCAGGGCTGCAACTCGAGCTCCATCCATCCTGCTGCAGCTCCCCAGCTGCAGGGAGAGCTTTGCTCTCGCTCCTTGCAGGAGGTGACACTGGGCACCCCAGGAGAAGGCTCCCAGCTCTCCCTTCTGGGGCTGCTCAGACCCTTTTCCCCCCCCTCTGCTTTCCACTCCAGCCATTCCCAGGAGCAGCAGCCTGCCTGGGGGAGGCTTCTCCCACCCCTTGGGGGCTGCAGGTGGGGCAGAGCCCAGGGTTTCCCAGGCTGCTGCTCGGGTTCATCACCAGCCCTTCCCGGATGCTCCTGCCTGTCCCCTGAGCTGCTGGGGACACTGTCCTTCACCCCAGCCACACGGGATGGGCTGGGGTTAAGGGCTCAAAAAGCTGGTTCCTGACAACTC